TTAAGACGGGGGCAATGTAGCAAGTACCCCTCTGGATCTCGGAATGATGACTCATCGCCGGTGAGTCAGCGCTCGAGCAATCAAGAGCGGTCCGGAGCTCGCTGGAATATTCGAATTTTTTTGTAGGCGCTGTATAAGGAACAGCGCAGCATGGAACAGTCAGTCAAGTTTTGGTACCCGCGTCGAAATAAATAAATATACGTGCAAATAAATAGACTCTTGAACAGTAGTGATATATAAATAATTAGTAGTTAAGTGTTTAGTTAGTTTTATAGCTATAACACTAGTGTTTTAAGTGTAATTAAGTAATAAAATTAATAGTTTAGTTCTTTAATAAACCAGTGCGTGTTTTAATTCACACTACGAACAGTAAAAACGTTACAATATATATTACTTGAGTCATGATTATAATAGTCGAAAAATGCAAAAATCTCAAGGCCGAAAAAAATCACTTGCCGCATTTTAGTTTCCGACGGCAGTATATATTAGGGTGCTTCATTTTAGAGCGACATTTTTTTTCCAAAGTCCCACCTGAAAATCTTGTAACCGGTCAGAAAACAAAAATTTTGAGCTCTTACAAAGCTCTTAATCTTTATTTTAAGCTGTTGCTATTCAATTTTTAAATATTTCCCTTTAAAAACCATTAAAAATCAATGTTTTATTCTTTTCTCCTTCCGCTCGTACAGTAAGAATATTTTTTCGAATTTCGGTTCTAAAATATTTATACAGGATGAAATTATCTTCAAAAAAGTCTATTTAAGAAAGTCCGTAAGTTGAATATTTTCTTCACAAATTGACGTTCTACTCGAAAATATTCTAAAATAGCAGTAAATCGTATTTGGAGATTAAACTATTGATTGTAGATAAAAAACGTAAATGACAATTTTGTAGGAAATTTTGTGCCCTACAATTTTTTTTTTCACGTAACTAATAGTATAGTACAGTCGTCAGAAACTGAATTTTTAAGAATTTGACCCTTTAAGTGGCTGTACAAGCTAAACTATAAGTGATACAGAAAAATATTTGTGTACAAATTTGGAGTATGAGTATAAGAGACGTATAACCAGCCCCATTTCCTCTTGACTCTCGAACCCCGTACAGGCCTATGTTTACTTACGCCGATTTTTGTTCTTCCCCAGCAACTGCACGGCTTCACCCGTGTTTGCTGGGTGCGAATGTCCATTGCGTTCCGTACTGTCCCCTATTTGGGGCTCGAGAGCGAGAGGCGAATAGTTTTAATAGCCATTCTCGGGTTCGCCGAGCCTATGCTATACGCTCAGTGGGGTATGGAGGAGGGACGGGAGGTGGTTTTTGGGGGACAATTACGCCGACTTAAAACTAAGTACGACGCGGAATCCCCCTAGACCAGTCGATTAGTATTACTCCAAACATTTGGACGGTGGACGAGTGGTTAGTGCTGCTAACTACAAGCCGGAGGTCGTGGGTTCGAATCCCACCAGGGGTATGGCTGTTTATTTGTGTTTGTCCTATTGTGTAATAGTCCTTCGGAGGGGACTTTAAGCCCGCGGTCCGTTCCTACCCCTAACCCGCACAAGCCATTCAGTTGGCTTATGGGACTTCTTAAGAAGTAAGGGTGGAACTAAAAGAGCACTTTTGTATATAAACTTTTTTGTATATACTATTTAGAGTTGGGGAGTTGTTATTTCGCTGCAGGGGTGTAGTTTCCTAGTCGAGGTCTTTGTCTTGTTCGTTATTGTCATTGTCCGTGTCCTGGTCAGATAGTTCCTGCACTTGGTCAGTTGTTTTTAATAAATTTTGTCCCAACCACGTTTTGTGGTAGAGTTTTGTCTTTTTTTCTAAAATTCCAAAATTAAGCATTACATTTATTTATTAGTTAAACAAATGACACGCGCAATTATTCTGTTGTCTAATGTTTATAAATCTAGTAGAGTTTGGCTATTAGGCTTTTTTTTACTGTGTTAGGATTATAATGATTAATGTGTTAGTTTATTCTGTGAGTCTAGTGTTTATTTTCGGTTTCGTTTGGGATTGCATTACGCATTTGTTGTTGACATATTTATTGCCCTATGCCGTGTGCCTTTCATAGGTTTTAAAGATATCTGCCGTATTTAAATTGCAGATTTTGTATTAGGTCATGCATATTCTTAAGGTAACTTATCAATTTTTTTGCGGATGGCCACCTCCCCTCTTGTTTGACCTCATTTGTTTGTCCAGTGAAAAGCGTCCAATGACAGGTGGCACTTAACTCATTCATGTCACTTAACACTTCACTCCTCAATGACCGTTACACCATTTTAGTTTGCACTCTATGAAAATTGTTTGTTTCACTTTATTAGTTTGCACTTTTTAAAAATTATTGTTGGTTTAATCTTTAAACTTTTACGTTTTAAGAGCTTTCCCACACGCGTCGTGCCTTCTCAAGCGCTGGAACCTGACTTTTTGTACAAATTTGGAGGGAAATAAAATCCCTACAAAATCGTCGTTTACGTTTTTTATCTACAATCAATAGTTTAGTCTCCAAATACGATTTACTGCTATTTTAGAAGATTTTCGAGTAGAACGGCAATTTGTGAAGAACATATTCAACTTACAGACTTGCTTAAATAGGCATTTTTGAAGATAATTTCATCCTGTATAAATATTTTAGAACCGAAATTCGAAAAAAATATTCTTACTGTACGAGCGGAGGGAGAAAAGAATAAAACATTGATTTTTAATGGTCCTTAAAGGGAAATATTTAAAAATTGAATAGCAACGGCTTAAAATAAAGATTAAGAGCTTTGTAATAGCTCAAAATTTTTGTTTTCTGACCGGTTACAAGATTTTCAGGTGGGAAAAAAATGTCGCTCTAAAATGAAGCACCCTAATATATAAGTATACTATATACCTATAGGTAAACAATATTTTTATACATACAATGTATACTATTTTATACATGTATGAAATAGTATACAATTATTTATTTTTATTGTTTTACAATTTATTGGACATTAATGCAAAGGTAGTGCTTATTTGCACTGAATAATTTAATACTATGGCACTGCCAGTGCCGCAGTGGTAAAAGTTTGGCAAATAAAATAAAAATCAACAAAATATTTTAAAAGTGCCATAATACCAAGTTAGGGCTAAGGAATTTTTAATACCAGTGAGATATATATAATATATTACATAAAATATTTTTATGAAATATATATATAAACATTTCATAAATAATAAGTAAATATTGCACACATAATAGATAGATAATAAGTAAATAGAATGCAACATTTATGTAAATGGAATACCTATACTTGTTTTATCACGTTTACATACTATGATATGATAACTATGATATGGCGCTGTTATATTACAGCTACATAATAACTAATACATATCTATGATAAAACACTGTTACATAACCAGGAAGGGGCCTTGAGGCGGACATAGGAGCATTGCCATTTCATATATAGGTGAAATAATTATTAACTGTTGCATATATGCACTATAGTAAGGAACAATTTTTATGTAACCTTTATATCACTGTGACTTGATTTGGTTTGCTGGGATATTTAAGTATATGTAAGATAACCTACAAATCTTTACTGTCATTTAAAATTTGCTATGTTGCCAAATTAAATCAGTGGATATGCGTAAATCAGTTGATATAAAAAAATCAACGTTTCTGCATACGGCCCCAAGTGACCTTTTAAATACACATTGAAAAGTTGTGGCTTTATGGTGTTTTAGTCACGGGCTGAAGCAAGCAACAGGTTTTTAGTCACGGGCTGAAGTTGGTTTTAATTTAGTTGACATACAATCGTTAAAATAAAGTGCCTTTCTTGTAAAATAATACGAAATGTGAAAATTATTTTATTATCTCAATACAAAAGTATAAAATAGTTTTTCAACGCTAATATTTAAAAAATTTATAGTCGTTTTTTCGCGTAAATACTATGAAATACTACGGTTAAATAAGTCATGACGTCACAGTTAATTCATATAACCATGGTTAGGTTTCTAACATTTGACATTTGTTTACTTGTTCATAACCTATAATTTTTGAAATGTGTTTTTACCTATTTATATTTAATTTCTATGCTTTTACAGGTGTAAATAAATTTCTTTGCCTCTTCTTTTACCTTGTATATTCTTTTTCTATGAACCCTAGTTCTTATACCTACCTTTTCTATACCTCTTTTTATATATAAACAGTTCTTCACTGTTGTTTACCATAACTAAAATCCAACAGTGTTTAACGTTTATACGAAAATTATTATTGTGAAACTCAAAATTTAGAATGGAACCCCAAAGAAAAAGACGAAGGTTGGCGGCATGTTTTGGAGAAGATATGTTTAGCACACAACATTATTCCTACATAAACATATTAAATATATATATTAAAAAGAGAAATACTATTAACCACGTTGAATAACTAGCTCAGCGATATAGTTTTATGGTCTGGTATTTGTGACGTCATAGTTAGGATTTTTGAACGCACTCTAAACGCAAAAATGCCTTAACTATTAACCAAGGTTAAGTTTAATGACCATAGTATTTCATGGTATTTACGCGAAAAAACGACTTATATGAACATTGTACTAACCTTTTAATTTCGCCGGCAGTAAACTATAACTTAAATTTTTGCTTGGACTCCACTGTGAAGTCCTCATAAAACATTTTCTTTACTTTCAAACTGTTAATTGTTAATCCATTTTCAAGGAATACATTTCGATTTATTACCGTTATAATATGTGTTTATTACACATAGAAATAATACTATTATTTCTATGTTATTACATATAAAAATTTGACATTTGACGGTAAGACAGATTCCCCTATTGTTTTATAGATGGCGCTCTATACAATTATTTAATTTAAATCATTTTAAGATAATAACAAATATTTGTCATAGAAAAAGTATAGTATGCACCTTTTCTAGACACTCGCTTACAAGCTCACTGGTGCCTAAATTAAGTTCGTTTATTAAACTTGATTTATAATATACTATTATTATGCAATATAAGAATTAAAAAACGTATTTAAAGAGATTTTTTTTAATGTATTATTACAATTAATTGTATTAATAAACAAATAATATTAACAAATTTATAATATCTCTATATTTCTTATGGCATAAGTCAAACTTTTCAAAACCTTGGTACATTTTTGGATGACCTGAAACCATATCAGTTAATGTGATTGTTCCGATTTGCTTTGGCCAATTGCTCATATTTAAGGCAGTCATTGTGTGTTTTGTATTCCATTGTGGCACTTGCAGGAATATTTAGTAATCGTTTTAAGGCATCTCTTATTCTTGCTGTTGTTGCCTGATCTGATGCTGTTCTATTCCAAATACTTAATAGGTATTCTTGAAACCTTGTAGACACTACCACTCCACATATTTCATTACCAGCCTGTACATTAAAATATAAAATTAAGTAAGATATTTTAAAAAAAGAATTATTATTATCTACCATAAATTGTTCTCCTAACATTGCCATACATAAATTCTCCCAGGCTCTCCCAGCTTGCTCTTTTCTAAGCCGTATGACCTAGAACTGTACTATTAAATACCCTATTGGAAATAGTATATATTAGGTCTGTAAAGTAGGCTTTTTTTGTGTGAACATGATCTGCTTGTGGAAAAGCTTGGAAAGACATGTAATAAAGAATATTGCTAAATAAACTTTGTTTCTTTGGTTTGTTTTTTTTCAAATAACACTTTATTTATATAAGGCATTGCAAAAGTTTGCAGTTTAATTGGGTTAATTATATGATTTAAATAAAATTTATATTATACGAAATAGGGTAATTGAAATATTTTTTTGTAATTTTTAGTGAGGCATAATAAAAATGCTCTTTATCTTACCCATTTCCCTCCTTTTTTATTGGCTGCATCCTCCCACATAGGTTTAATGCCTTTTTTAAAAAGGTGTAAGTCTCTATGTGAGGGTATGTCTTGCAACCTGTTAATGTGTGAATATAAGGCCCACCACTGTTCCACTGTGCCCACCTGGCCAACCAGTCTTAAAGCCTGGCTGTAGCTTTGTGAATGGGATGCTCTCCGAGAGAACCACAAACAGTATGGATGTTGAAGTCTGTGTTCTCCTGGTGGATACTCTATTGGACCTAGATCAGTTATATTTGAGCCTATTTCGTCGTCTCCACTCCCGCTATCTGAATTGTCCACATGGTGGTGTTTTAGCCTAAAATATCAACAATGCACCTTTGCTAACAATGGAAGAAATGAGGTTCAGGCTCACGTTTCGTATTTGTTGGACATATTGAAGTTACAATTTGCGTTATAGACCATAAAATACTCTTATCACAGCTTGTCACAAATTAATTATTTTTGTAAATACTTAAATTATTATTTTCTAATGAGCTTCCGTCAACTTTATTTATGACCTTGATAAGCACTTTATACAATTTACATATAAGTAACAAAAGTCCCTAGTTAAACTGTCAGTATTCTTCTTCTTCTTCGTTGGTGGCAAAAAGCCCTAAGCCTGATTTATAGATTGCATTCCTTCCTCCCGTAAAAGATAAAACGAAAATCGAGGATTCATTTAAAGTAAATCCACCTTTAGATTAGACGAGCTTCTGGGAAATTACACTAGCACCAATGAAGACTGATGTTTAAAACCCATTCGACCTAAATAACTATTTTTTACATCAATTTCGGAAAATTTAAATTACTCCGGCAACACTGCATCGCTGCGGTTTTCTAATTGACCATATGCAAGGAATGCGGTCGATGTTGCCAATGGTAAAACAATAAACTTCCCTATTGGGAACATTCAATATATTACGTTGGCTACTTTGAAATTTTGAATTTCCCGCACAAACTGACATACATTCTAGTAGTTCCCAAAGATAAAGAAGGTAGTTCCAATGTTGTATAATAAATTAAGGTGCGAATTTCAAATGTGGGAATTATTATTATTTATTATTATTATTAATTTAGTTTGTGCGGGAAATTCAAATTTTCAATGTAGCCAACGTAATATAATTGAATGTTCTCAATAGGGAATTTTATTTTTTTACCATTGGCAACATCATTGACCATATGCAAGGAATGCGGTCGATGTTGCAAATGGTAAAAAAAATAAAATTCCCTATTGGGAACATTCAATTATATTACGTTGGCTACATTGAAAATTTGAATTTCCCGCACAAACTAATTTAATTTTCATCTTTTTTTTAATAATAATAATTCCCACATTTGAAATTCGCACCTTAATTTATTATACAACATTGGAACTACCTTCTTTATCTCTGGGAACTACTAGAATGTATGTCAGTTTGTGCGGGAAATTCAAAATTTCAGTGTAGCCAACGTAATATAATTGAATGTTCCCAATGGGGAATTTTATTTTTTTACCATTGGCAACATCGACCGCATTCCTTGCATATGGTCAATTGGTTGTCGATGGGTTACTTTTAATCTTTGAATAAAAAACCTAGGACTAGGGATGTAAGCAAATTTTTATGACAATGTCCTGTCACGGTCATAATGAAAATGACTGTCATGTCATTAATAAATTTATTTTTATGACACTCTTGTCAATAATTTTTTACAATTAAAATTTCTTCAATAAAATATACGACAGTCCTAAAAATATATGACGGTCACAAAAGTATCAGCTGACTTTCGATATCGAACCACCTATACTTTTCGAGTACTCCAAAGTAAAAAATCTGCAGACATGTCACTTTGAATTTATTTTTTGATGGATACAAAATATTTTAAGTATACTTTTTTTATAAAAATATATTTTTATAAAAAAAAAATAATATATTATTATTATTTATAAAGCAGAAGAGATGACCAGAGACATATTCAAGGCAAATTCATTTAATGTCTTTTCTTCTTAAAATACATTCACAGGGGCATACTGCTGATCACAGAACATAAGCTGCAGGCTGCAGCCTGCAGCCAGCGTTGCCGCACTGAAATTATCAATTACCCACGCCACTATGACAGAATACCCGGTTTTACCCCCACTTTAACATGAAAATCCCCATAAAATTACCCGTCCGAATACGTGGCTTGTTTTAAAAAAAAAGAGGTCAAATTTTTATTAATAGTAAATAGGTAGGTATTAGCCTAAAACTATTAGCTAACCTAGGTAGGAACTTTATTAATACATAGATATATCTATAGCATATATTACTTTATTAATAAATAGTAGATGAACCTCCTCTCAGGGATTAAGTACTTTATTTTTTCCGTAAATTAGAATTTAACATTTTGTTTGATGGTTCAAATCTGACAGGACCTCCTGCCTCTTGGACCCCCTGTAATAATGCGGCGATTCTGTAGGTGTTCAGTCTGTTTCTGTTATAAATAAAATACCCGTTGACTGTCAAATTAACGTCAAGGACATGCGCAATATAAAATAAAGACGTATAGCGCCATCTATTAGGTAACTGTATAAACCCAGTCAACAAAATGGTCAAAATGAACTTTGACATTTTCATTTTCGCAGAAATAGCGTAGGTCGAATGGTTGAATTTTAATTTTAAAGTTTTATTTTTTCTGTTGGTTCTACAATTTTTATTTTTGCAAATTTGGGTCAAATGGTTAAAATCCCCGGTTTTACCCGTTTAATTATTTTACCCGGCACATACTCCAAAATACCCGAATTTTGGGTAAAATACCCGGCAACGGCAACGCTGCCTGCAGCATGCTGATATTCTACTGTCAGCGTTGCCAATAGTTCTTAATAAAATTCCTGGCAAAAAATATCATTATTACTGGCAATTCCTGGCAACGTGAATGCTTATGAATGATGGAAAGAATTCTTAATTTTTACAATTTTTAGGTTTCTAGCAAAATGGCGCATTTCAACAAAAAAAATATTTTTTAATTTTTTTATTCACACCAAATGATTTATATTGGGGTACTTGTTTTACTGTTTTTTAACATATTTTATAATAAAATTATAATTGTAATTTTATAAAAATTTGATGATTGTTTCAACCCTGTTCGATAATTTCACTTTTTACATCTGACAACATGTTGTCGTGCACGACTCTGTTGTTCGACCAATCGGCAGTCCCGCCCCACCCGGCAAACGTAGAGATGGGCCAGACTTAGTCTGTAAGGTGGGGGCCATCATCATGATTCAAGGATCCTTACATCATGGGCCATGATGGCCCGGCCATCTTAGATGACTTATTTAAGATGGGCACTTTCAAGGATTATAAACGATAAGTGAACAAACATAATTATTGTATTTTAACTAACATAGTAAATTAACCAATTCCTGGCAAATTCCTGACATTTGAACTCTCCTGGCAAAATAACTTTCAAGGAGCTTTATTTCTGGCAAATGCCAGTAATTATTGGCAAATTTGCAACGCTGTAGTGAAATGAGGTGCGGAGGCGGCGGCAAATGCTTAGGTTATGTTCTATTCCAGCCTGGAATTTCCAGGCTGGATGCTCCCGTGTATGAGTTTTGGTTCGTGCCGCGCATGACGTCACTTGATGAGTAGTTGCCATGCGAATACACAAATAATAGTAATATTATCAAAGAAAATAGAGAAATATCTGGACATAGTGCGTTTATATTCTTAATATTGAAAAAAGTGTTAGAATATGGATAATAGATACTTTCGGTCCTTGATAACATTTAGGCTGTAATTTAAGCGTTGGTGTTTTAAATTAAACTTATAGTCACTTTCCAGAAAATGTTTATAGAAAACAAAAGCGGTCATAACGTTAATATTGTCTATTCTTTTTGTGGCATTTAAGGTGGATTCATGCAAGCATGTCTTAAATTAACTTAACTTAACTTTGTACCAATCTTGTAGGTACTAATCTTTATCCCATGAAAATGAACCGTTCATACATGTACTATTATCTTCTTTATCTTCTTTATCTCTGACTATTATCTTAAGGATTTTACATGCGCATTACGTTTAGTGACCAGTAATACCAAAACCAACCATTTTATTTTTAAAGTCTTTTCTTCTCCGGTCATATATAAAGGTAAACTGACTCACTAATTTGATCAATTCACCATCACTCATGGCGATTACATATAAAAATATTACACAAACCCACAAAATACTAAATTTTCAAAAATGTAAATACAATGAAAGTAGCTACATTCAGTGCTGCCAGAGCAGATGGTCGGATAATCCGTATATATTCGTGGAAAGGGTGGGGGGAAGCCTCGAAAAATCCGTAAAAATCCGTTTTTGTCTAAATTTCGAAAAATTTCTTCTATAAGGGGGATTTTCGTGACAAAACATACCTTTCGTCAAAGAAAATCCGAAACATCTCAGAATTTTTCGGGGGAGTTTCAGAAGTTTGAACCTCTTCGTCAGTGATATAATTCTCGTCACTTTCCATTTTTCACAAAATAAAGTATTCGGATATATAATAAACATTGACTTTGAGATCAAAATATTGCCACAATGCAGTTCAATGCACTGAACTGGAGTCAGTATTGGTTAGTCGTTACTATTGGTGGCATTGCGCCGCTTATATATTGGCAGCAATAACAACGTGTTATAAAACCTTAACAAATGATATGAAACTATCGTTCTCTTTGTCACACTCAATGAAAAAGCATATGTTTCGGCGTTTAAGAACCCTATATTAAGAACACATCCTTTTTCAATCCGCTTTCTTTTTCTGTCTAACGTAGTAAAAAGGAAGAGGAATAGAAGCGTGACAAAGATGATCAAAAAACGTGGCAAAAATGATGTTTTTTTAGTATTAGTATGAAGCTATCTTAAAAATCCGTAAAAATCCGTATTTGATGAAAATCCGTTCAAAATCCGTTTCCAATTTCTCTAGACCTGGAAAATCCGTAAAAAACGGATAAATCCGTTCATCTGGCAGCACTGGCTACATTAGACTATGAAGTTGGCTACATTACCAGTACATGCGCATTTGCCTATTTTTATTAAGAACTTAGGACATAAGGATCTTAAAGATAAAAGTAAACAGTGTTGCCAATTGCGGTGTAATTACACCATTTGGGTGTAATTTACTGACTGTGGTGTAATTTTCTAACATTTTTGAATGCGGTGTAATTTGGGTGTAATTTTGGACGGATCATAAAACGTACCTATTTTTATTTAAGGGAAGTTTTAAATGTGATAAAAATATAATTCATTTTGTAAAAAGGGGAATCCCTGGATTTAATATCATAAAATGTATGTAGTATTAGGTTTATGGGTAAAGAAGTGGCCACGCCCCTCGGAATCTTCCTTTTCGTTCTAACTAGTGTTTTTAACGCTGCAAAGCGGTTTTGCGCAAGTATCATCGACGATATAGCAGCTTCGCCGTTCTTATTGGCTTTCTCTAACAACAGCTGTTTGTGACACATGCGCGTAAATGTTTCCTTGCGTTCACAAGAAATTTTATCTCTTTCTTAAGACAAATAATTTTACACTAAAAT